TATCTACCAAATCACCACAAAAGTGACCTCTGGCAAAAATGTATTTTCACCTGATCCTGGATAAAAATCAGGATCAGGTGATAAAATCCTCAGTTGATTTGCCAGAACATCATAATAATGCATCAACCATAATTATTTTGCCATAAAAACAACTTCTTCCTAACCATAACAAAGTAGTTCTGGTTACCCAAAGTTTCCCACATCATAAAAATCATTCTGGCAGGAACATTCTGTTGCCATTGGCTATAATCAGTGGGTTTTTCAGCATGAGCATTTATCTATGTTTTGTTTGGCATGTAGGCTATAACAACGGAGCAAGCACTGCACTTTCAACGTACAGCACTAATTATGGATATTGTCCTTTGTTGCTGAAGTTGTTTTACCTTGTTGCTGTTGGTAGATGGTGATAAAGTTACCAACAGACCAGGTAACATGAATCTAAAGCAAACTGTTGCCTGCAGCCTGACAAACCCAGTCAGCATGTCTCAGTAGGAGAGGTGAAAGTAATTGAAGTCTGCTGGTAGTTTTCTTTAGTCAGAGTTGTTTATGAAAATGCTGGAACACAATTATTTGGTGGATGTCTCATTGGTGGTATCTGGTTCAGTCATCTGCTGCTGTGTTTGTGGAGACAAGATTGAAGAAATCTTTATTAAAGGTGTTATTCTCTGCCTGCCACAGGGACCACATTAAAAGTAGGTTTGCTTTGACATAAAAGAACAAATGTTTCTGAAACCACATTAACTGTGACCAGACACCAAGTATATAAAACACCATCTTGAACTTCATGCCTTTGAAATGATCTTTGGGATGGTGGTCTTACGCTGCATTACTGTCACAGATGGAGAATGCAGGATTTCAAAATCAAATCACAACCTGGGGCTTTGATGGATTTGAGAAAACTAGGAAAATGCACTTCCATGAAGAACCATGATTTTTCAAAACACAATACTCCAAATAATAGCATATCACAAATATTCTGACAATGGCCGGCAATATATTTATATGTATTAAGTGATGATTTACTAAAAACTAAAATGCTGTAACTGTAACCATGGACACATTATGAGACGATAGGCCCCCCCACCTGTCCTACATACAGTTGGACCCCTCAGATGGATGCGTTTGTAGTCAAACTGTCTTTTTGTGTGTCTTTGTGGGGGTTTTTTTTGCCTCTACTTATGATCTTTTTTCATCTCTTTGTGGTAATTTTTTATGATATTTGTCAGGTTTGGCGAGTGAAGCTGCCAAATAGTGTCTGTGGTGAACTCAATTATAACACCAGATGAACACAGGTAGAGGATAGTCTCTTTACTTGCCAAACAAAACAAACAGAACAAAAGTCCATAAATCCAAATCGGGTCAATTATACAGTCCAAGGTCAGTGCCGGCAAACACACACACCCAAGGGATCCACAATCGAGAGGTCAGAGAGGACATATCCGAGGGTTGGTACACAGCAGGCAATTAGAATCTGGGGGGATAAGGCAAACTACAGTGGTCAAACAAGCAATCCGGGGGTCAGAACTAGAGAGTCAGGCACAAGAATAAATGCTGGAAAGTTAGAGCTGGAGTCTAGAGCAATCTGGCAGCTTTCCGGTTTTGGGGGGGAACAGGTGCAAGCAATGAGTGTTGATGAAAGTAAAAGGTCTGTAGCTGTGATATGGCTAGAACAGGAAGTTATCAAAATAAAAGCACAAGACTGGAAACAGGCGGGACAAATCATGACAATATTTTTGTGTTTTTTATGGTTGTTTTGTGTCTTTTTGATTAGGTTTTGTGTTTTGACTGAACTCTATAGCAAAACATTTTGTTCCTTCATACCCTCCAAAATGAAGTCTTAACATTTTCTAATCTGGGTGTGTCAGTATGACTACATCAAGTATAAAACGGTTTCCTAATTTTATACCATTAAACTTAGGTTTCTACACAAGCAAAACTTTCAGATTTAGGAAAAGATCTTGGTTTGGGATTAGTCTTAGAACTAATAATAATAAGAACTTAGTTAAAGCCAGAAACATGGCAGTTTGGGTTAAAATGACTACTTAGTGAAGCTTTGTCATTATGGTTGCAATAATAACCACTTGGTTAAGGTTGGGCACCAGTGGAGGACGTGGTTAAAAAAACAACAACAAAATCACTCAAGAAAATGTTAGAATCTCCTGTCAAAATCTAACTCATAGCAACATGAATATGCAGTGTTCATTATCCCATATTACAAGTAATTTTTTTTTTCTCTGTAAAGACAATGTGCAGAAGTCAAGTTGAGTTCATGTGGCCTGTCTTCTGATACGTCTCTGAAGACCACTTACCTGAATAAATGGCTCAAATCCAGAGTGTGTCTGGTCTGGTCTTTGTTTTTAACTTTTTATTACTCTTGTCACAGTTTGTCATGTCCTGGTTTCGCTCCATGGCATGGAGGCAAGGTTGAGAAAGGGAGAGGGCCGGGAGGTCAGCTGAATGGATGCAGGAGAGTGGAGATGCAGACCTCGTGACCACTACAGACCTTCACCAGAAAGTGTCATTTTAAAATAAGAATGTCCCATCAGATTTGGTGGCACTGGCCTCATTCTGATGCAATTAATCAAAAGCTGTTTGACTGAATAAAGGTGGAATCTGTAGGCTAACAGCTCACTGGTCTGCAAGTACTGTTAGAGTGTGATCGATGCTGTCATTGTGTCAATAGGTAGAATAATAAACCTAGCACCGAAAAAAGCTTGGTAGTCAGATGTCATCCTGTGTGCTGAAGAAGCACTTACAACCCCCCGAGCTACAAAAACATGCACCTACCAGTTGTACTATGCTGCATGATGCACACAAGCCAAGAAAATTACCATAAAACACCTGTATGGATCATTATATGTGCATTCAAAATCCAGAATTATGGGTGTTTGCCAATACACTATTGAAAATGGATTAATATGCCACATAGTTTAATTTCCTACATTAGTTTCAAATACCTTGGGGTTTTCAAGACAAGATATAGTGTAGCTGACACACAGTTTAACTTTGTTTATCCCCCTTAAATCTCAGCCCTGCTCCATCTCTCAAACCCTCATATCTCCCACTGCTCTCCAGTGTCTGGGCTCAGCCTCCTTTCCGAATCTCTCTACACCACACTTTGCCATCCAATTCCTCACTGTCCTCTTCTTCAATTTGTCCTTTGTTGATTAGCTTTGTCCAGACTGGCACCACTACACACTACTACCGCCCTCTTCCTACCACTCTCTCCATTAATGGTATTCACTTTATTTCACCTCCCAGCTCATATCTGACCTCCACAGACTTTACTGCTCCTGCGTTTGTTAAATCGTAAAACGCAAGTGTTTCAAATTAACAATTGAGTGCCTAGCGTGATGATTGGATGTCATGGAGCTCAACTTTCCATGTTGTCTTACCTTCCTTAAAAGCTGTCATGTAGAGAGACATGAATTATGGCTCAGCGAGTGTCTCTGTAAAGGAATATGCAGCAGGGAAGTTAATTGACTGTAATTACCATAAACAATTATAGGTTTACACATTTTCTGTTAAACAGTGATATGTTGCTGTGTGAACTAGGCTCAGGCATATAAAGCATTTAGCTTGACTTAGAGTAGCAGGTAATGGGGAAACAGTTGCTGGTCAAAGATTCATAGTATAAAATTTGCTTACCAGCTCATCTAACATAATAAATAGTGAATGTTAGATGAGCTTGACAAATCCTGTTTGTTCAGAGCCAAGCTAGCTGTTTCCACATTTATGCTACTCTAAACTAGTGGTCTCCTGTAGCTTCATATTTAGTGCATACTGTATGTGAGTATGGTACTGACAAATGTATTTTCTACAGTGCTGAATTGTTCTTAGCACTTGAATTACCTTATTATACTAATAAAAGCAAAAAGCAACTGATAACTGGTAATTATTGTCACAAACAAACCATATTTTCCATTTGCCATTTTTGCCAAAATGATTAAAAATTCCAATCGGAGGAAAATGGATGGATGGATGGATGATTATAAAATCTTTTTCCTCTGGCATCTCTTTCTCTGCACCACATTTTTTTTTCTTGTGGTTGAGTCAACTCAGTCTATTATATTTACAGGACAAAGCATGTGTGAGAGCCTATTAAGTACAGTACCACAAGCCTCACCCCCTGTCTCTATTCTGACAATGCTGGCTTCACTGCACATTAGATTTACTCTTTATTTTGTTGAACCATGACAGAGTTTTCTCACCAATAAATACGACAAATCACTGTGGCAGAAAGTTTAATAGGAATACGTGCTGCTTGTTTCTGTATCAGAATTGTCCATTTTTTCTCCAACATCCTGGATATAGAAGTGTAGATGAACAGCCTCTAGAGAAAAGAATCAGAGTGACTTCATTCTTCTATCTATAAATGTACTTACATATATTCAAGTAGAGGGTGGATACCCAAACCAAACCCAATGGGACCTGTTGGTACCCAAGTGTTTGGGTCAGTTCCGGACAGAAATTTAGAAATCATATTCGGGTTTGTGTTGTAGTTTCACCTGTAACTATGTCACTATATTGAACTATAAGACAGACTACATAAATCTCTATTCTAATTTAAAGCGCTATTAAAAATGAAAATGATCATAGTCATGAAAATGTTGCTCACTGCTCTGTCACTTTACCAACAAGTCTGCACAGTGTGCAAAGCCTCTGAGCCAGAAGAGGATAAGGACACTGAGGAAGACAGCAGCAGCACTCCAGCAGGGAAGCGCCTCAGAGTGTGAAGGCATGGCCCAGGTGTTCTTGTGAGCAAACCAGGACACCTAGCAGTTCTGAGAGGACCTTCTTTTTTGATGCAGGCCTGTGAGTCATGGCAACCCTGATGTGTTTCCTGTCAAACACAGATCAACTTTGCTGTGAAACACCACCAAGAATGAACAAAGTGGTGAGTAGTCTTTTACACAGAATCTCAGAGTTCAGTATTTTGTGTTAATGGCGTAGAAAATCTAACCAGCAGCTAAAAGTATGAATTGTTTCCTCCCTCATCAGTTGCTTGTCTTTGAGAGAGAAGAGACCAGGAGATGACAGGATATGCTATGAACTCATCGAAAAAGGTAAACATACACTTTATATTATCATCAAAATTCACTGATCAATAGATCATGTGTTGCCATCATTGCTGAGATTATTAACTGTTACTGCTTTTCTCTGTCATCTGTTTTTAGAGAGAGCACAAGAGTGCAGAGGAGCAGAAACAAGAAAAGAGAAGCAAATGGCAGCACTGTGAGCCATCTAAAAAAGGTTAATATACAATCATTCTGAATTAACTTCATGTCCTCTTTTAGCACATCCATATACTGTATCTCCTCTTTGGCCTTCCTCTTGACCTCTTGCCTGGTAGCTCCATCTCCAACATCCTTCTACCAATATAACCACTATCCCTCCTCTGCACATGTCCAAACCATCTCAATCTGGCCTCTCTGACCTTGTCCCCAAAACAGCTGACCTGAGCTGTCCCTCTGATGTGCCCATTCCTAATCCCGTCCATTCTGGTCACTGGATAATGAGGTCAGTGGCTTCATTGAATTAACTTTATTTTGTGCATTTTCTTATAATGTAAAGTTTGTTTGTTTACTGTTGATGGACTGGATGCTTACCTTTATGTTTAATATGTAACATTGTGCTTATATTGTTTTATTTTGTAACAGGTGGGAGAAATGGCGGTGGACACAATAGATGGCAGAATGTACGAGAGGACACTGAAGGCAACCCAGACAGATAACCAGGTAAGTGGCACAGGTAGGTACAAATCAGGTTTTGTTTCACAGGTAGAATGAGGATAAGAGGTAAGTACAGTTTCAGGTTTACTTTGCAGGTGAGGGCCTTACGTCAGTGTCTTTTTAGATCTTCTGGATTAGATTTTTCTTTCATTTTTTTGCATGCAAAATGTGTACTTTATTTATGTACTTTCCTGCTTTTTGTGTTTTCTAATTGGCTTACTGGTTTTGATGTTTACTTTTGTGTATCTGAATGCTTTGAAAAGTTTCTTCTACTTTTGTATTTAAGGTCTGGTTTTTATTTTCATGAATTGTAGGTTGTTAAATATTAAATTCTTTTTTTTTGTGTAATTTCACTGTATTTTCTGTAAATGTTTCTTGTATGTTTTTATTATTTTGTTTGCTTTAGTCAAATGACTTTATTTTGAGCAGTTTTCTATATCCTAAAGTTTTTGTTTCCTGTTGATGTACTGTATGCTTACTTTATTTTTAAGTATTCTGTTCTTGTGGGGCTTCTAACTGCAAAGAGACAATTTGTTCGATAGTCTCCTGCAGCTCTTCTTGTAAGTTCATTTCTGGTAATAGATCTTCAGAGGCTGGCACTGCTGTTGTGGCCTGTTATTTCTGGGCTTTTCCTTGTTTCTCTCTGGGACCCATTTTTACATCTCTGCTGGCAATGGCTATTAGACGCATGAGGATATTTGAAATACACTGCACACATGCAACTTCATCAGACTTGGGTTTGGACATGGAATATATGTTCAGTCAGCCAGCATGGGACACTCACTCTTCTTGAATGCTCTTTGGTCTGGTCAGTAAACATTTGGCTGCTCGCTCTGCACTGAAATATGACATATCAAGTACAACCTTGCTGTGACAGTGATGCACTGGGGATTCTGTCAGTATTTGTATTCATACTTTTTTGTGACCTACAGAAATGAGTAGCTTTGCAGCCTTTTTGTTTTGTTTTGCATTTTACAGCTGAGCCTCTGTAGTTATCTATGTGTACAGGAGGTAGGAGATGGGAGCTTTAAATAGAAACACATACAATATTTGATTTGATTTGATTTGATTTGATTTATTCTTTCAAGCATGTAAAAACAGTTGATATGACAACACACATAATTTTACACATAATCCAATATCAATTTGCTTATACCTAGTACATGCTTGAATGGAGTAGGAAGAAGTCAGACTTATCCAGTCCTACCCCATGACATCATCTTACCATCATTGGTTTGCAAGCAATAAATGATTCACTTCTATTCTCTTCTACACCACACAAGTAATATACTAAAGAATTAT